TCTTCTAAAGACAATTTCAGTACTAACTCGTCTATGAGATTATTCCAGTTATGTGGAAAGTCTGATTCGGCAATAATTGATATGGTTTCTCCCACTTGGATTTGTAATTGATTTGGCAACTTAATCATAATATCCAAAATTTCAGATTTAACATGATTGATATCCGAGATTGGCAACAAATATTCGCCTTCTTCATTAACCCATTTTCTTTTAACTAGGTTCTTGAAAAATAACACCCCCGCCAATCTAATACTGGGAGACAAATTAGTTGAAGCAATAATGTGTAACAAATTCACCGAAAACCCTGGTTGATTTTCAATAGATTTCAATTGTGCTTCTGCTTCCTTTGCATGCTGTGGTAGAAGTGATTGATCTAAATATTGTGGAATTGACTCTAAACTATTTTCAGCCATTATACTCCGATCTATAATTAAAGCTTATGTATGGAATAGTTTGATTCCTTAGTTGTTTAAAAATTTCGAGATGATTTTAGTTATAGAAAAACACGATTTTGTGTAATTTTTCATATTCTTAGAAGGTTCTGAAGATAATGCTTCAATTATATGGAAAAGTACAGCAAAGAACGCTCATTTTTAAGGATTTGTCATTATAATAGATTTTATAGTAAGAGAGATATCACAGTATATGGTGATGGGTTTTAGGAAACCTGAAAGTTTTTAAAAAAATTTCTATCGGATCATATTTGCTCGAAGTTGCAAAATTACATCAAACTATTTTCGTTTGTACGATACTTGTAATATGCTTGTGTATATTTAGAGCCATGCCACCTTCTATTTATTATATAGAAATTAAGGTCAGGTTAAAATCATTCAGCAATCAGCAGTTCCCTACATTGAGATATATATAAAACATCTATTAATAATAATAAAATTGAAACAGGAGAAAAAAAAAGAACAGGATTAGTCCAATTGTACTGATGACATATAAAGGATATAAGAAAAGAATATTTGTATAGTTCTAAAGTGACTACGCAGATGAAATCA